CAATTTGAACTCTCTTGTGAAGTTGGATTTGTATGTATGTCCATCCTTGAAGGCACTTCCAGAGAGCATCGGCAATTTGAACTCTCTTGTGAAGTTGAATTTGTATGGATGTCAATCCTTGGAGGCACTTCCAGAGAGCATCGGCAATTTGAACTCTCTTGTGGACTTGAATTTGTATGGATGTGTATCCTTGAAGGCACTTCCAGAGAGCATCGGCAATTTGAACTCTCTTGTGGACTTGGATTTGTATGCATGTGGATCCTTGAAGGCACTTCCAGAGAGCATCGGCAATTTGAACTCTCTTGTGAAGTTGAATTTGGGAGTTTGTCAATCCTTGGAGGCACTTCCAGAGAGCATCGGCAATTTGAACTCTCTTGTGAAGTTGGATTTGAGAGTTTGTAAATCCTTGAAGGCACTTCCAGAGAGCATTGGCAATTTGAACTCTCTTGTGAAGTTGAATTTGTATGGATGTCGATCCTTGGAGGCACTTCCAAAGAGTATCGGCAATTTGAATTCTCTTGTGGACTTGAATTTGTATGGATGTGTATCCTTGAAGGCACTTCCAGAGAGCATTGGGAATTTGAACTCTCTTCTGGACTTGTATTTGTATACATGTGGATCCTTGAAGGCACTTCCAAAAAGCATCGGCAATTTGAACTCTCTTGTGAAGTTCAATTTGAGAGATTGTCAATCCTTGGAGGCACTTCCAAAGAGCATCGGCAATTTGAACTCTCTTGTGGACTTGGATTTGTTTAGATGTCGATCCTTGAAGGCACTTCCAAAGAGCATCGGCAATTTGAACTCTCTTGTGAAGTTGAATTTGTATGGATGAGGATCCTTGAAGGCACTTCCAGAGAGCATCGGCAATTTGAATTCATTTGTGCAGTTGAGATTGTATGGATGTGGATCCTTGAAGGCACTTCTAGAGAGCATCGGCAATTTGAACTCTCTTGTGAAGTTGAATTTGAGAGATTGTCAATCCTTGGAGGCACTTCCAAAGAGCATCGGCAATTTGAACTCTCTTGTGGACTTGGATTTGTTTAGATGTCGATCCTTGAAGGCACTTCCAGAGAGCATCGGCAATTTGAACTCTCTTGTGGAGTTGAATTTGTATGGATGTCGATCCTTGGAGGCACTTCCAGAGAGTATCGGCAATTTGAACTCTCTTGTGGACTTGAATTTGTATGCATGTGGATCCTTGAAGGCACTTCCAGAGAGCATCGGCAATTTGAACTCTCTTGTGGACTTGGATTTGTATACATGTGGATCCTTGAAGGCACTTCCAGAGAGCATCGGCAATTTGAACTCTCTTGTGAAGTTGAATTTGGGAGAATGTCGATCCTTGAAGGCACTTCCAGAGAGCATCGGCAATTTGAATTCTCTTGTGGACTTGGATTTGTATACATGTCGATCCTTGAAGGCACTTCCAGAGAGCATCGGCAATTTGAACTCTCTTGTGAAGTTGAATTTGTATGAATGTGGATCCTTGAAGGCACTTCCAGAGAGCATCGGCAATTTGAACTCTCTTGTGAAGTTGAATTTGAGAGATTGTCAATCCTTGGAGGCACTTCCAGAGAGCATCGACAATTTGAACTCTCTTGTGGACTTGGATTTGTATACATGTCGATCCTTGAAGGCACTTCCAGAGAGCATCGGCAATTTGAACTCTCTTGTGAAGTTGAATTTGTAAGGATGTGGATCCTTGAAGGCACTTCTAGAGAGCATCGGCAATTTGAACTCTCTTGTGAAGTTGAATTTGTATGGATGTGGATCCATGAAGGCACTTCTAGAGAGCATCGGCAATTTGAACTCTCTTGTGAAGTTGAATTTGTATGGATGTGGATTCTTGAAGGCACTTCTAGAGAGCATCGGGTATTTGAACTCTCTTGTGGACTTGGATTTGAATATATGTAGATCCTTGAAGGCACTTCCAAAGAGCATCGGCAATTTGAACTCTCTTGTGAAGTTGAATTTGGGAGTTTGTCAATCCTTGGAGGCACTTCCAGAGAGCATCGGCAATTTGAACTCTCTTGTGAAGTTGGATTTGAGAGTTTGTAAATCCTTGAAGGCACTTCCAGAGAGCATTGGCAATTTGAACTCTCTTGTGATGTTGAATTTGTATGGATGTCGATCCTTGGAGGCACTTCCAGAGAGTATCGGCAATTTGAATTCTCTTGAGGACTTGAATTTGTATGGATGTGTATCCTTGAAGGCACTTCCAGAGAGCATCGGCAATTTGA